AAAACATGGTCATGATTGGTGTCAATGGAAAGCAGTGGCGGATCCAGGGGGTTCAAGGGGTTCGGACGAACCCCCCTCTGTGAAGAAACGTAACAAAATACTGTTGGTTCCTGGCTTACAAAACGCATTACCAACCGTTTCTCGCGCATCGTCTGTTTGTTGAAAATGTTTAAATGTTGATTGTTTAGATTTTTCTGCTTGAACCCTTTACTCTTATAAAATTCAACCAATTTTGAGTGATAAAGAATAAAGAATGATTTGATTTTATTTGAATCGGAGACCTAGAGATCCCCACGTTTTAGCGCGCCCAGGCTACCACCAGTTTAGGCAATTGAGATAAGCTGCTCTGCTACCTGGTTATAAATCTATAAGGTACCATTCCAATATTTAATAATAGGCTCTATTACAGTAACAGTATTAAAATTCAGAGACGGACAAAAATTTACTTTCGCCATAATATATTGTACAGCAAGCCTACGACTTCTGGATCACTTTTTCTTCAGGTCATCTAATAGGCTTGAAAATATCAATATAGAGACGTTTGAGTACAAAATTCATTGATTGTTTTTAATAAAGTGTTACTTTAATACCAAAAAATATGTTGCTCTGAATCTGAATCCAATCTGAATAAAATGACCCGATCGTCCTTTAAGGTCCAATTGATGATGTTGCAGGCGTTTATCATCCAAATATCTGAATTATTAGTAGGCCTTTAATGTATACATTATTTTAATCGATTTCAACATGCTGTGTATAATATTTAATAATAGGCCTACTATGATGGATAACCATGTATTTTATTCTTTATTCACTGACATGTTTAAAGTCGGAGGCGGACTTTAAGGTGGGTAGTTATGCAGCCGTCCGGGGCTCATACATTTTTATAAAAATTAAAAGAAAATATTTTGTCAAAAGCGGTTGTATTATTAGATTGCTCGGTAGTAGTAAGTAGGGGCCCATCACCTTTCAGGGACTCATTTGGACATGGAGGAATTAAGCGTTTCCCTAGAAAGCACACAGGCATTACATAACTGGTCAAACCTCCGTAGTGGGGCATCCAGGGGCATAGTTTAAAGAACCCCTTCTAATAAATCTGCCAAATATTGTGCTTGTGGGATTTTGGTCTATTTGGTTTTTTCGGAAGTTATAGAAAATGTTACGTATTGTTAAGGCGTTGTAGGAGAGTGCTGAGTATCAGTGTTACTGTAAGTAAAAGTATCTAACCCTCTCCAGGGCCCATTTGGACTCGGACTTCGCCCAGAAAGCACATGCGTTACTTAAGGCTTGGTAGTAATGTGTTAGGTAATAGTAGGAGTGCACCCCCCTCCCGCGCCATCCGAGAACTCACGAGTTACGCAAATGGGTCATGTTTATTTTAATATATGATATGCCATAATTGGACCTTATGGGACAATACATGAAACACTACATCGTTTCTGATATATAAGCTGCAATACATTATTCAGCATCGGAAGAGATTTCCAACGATACCAAACACGACTACTTTTTGGTGAGTTTATATACTTATTCTTATTTTATACACATTTTAAGTATATTTTGCGGATATTTTAAAACAAATAAACACCTACTTTTTAATTATGTTCCATTCTGGCATGAGTGACAGTAGTTTTTATATGTCTGGTTTGTTGCCTGTATAGAAATTATGATTTTAGACACCAACATCATATCTGTAGCTTATTTAGTTCCAATTATATGCACATTTTAGATAAATTTGGCGGCCATTTNTACCAGGTGAAAAATCAAGTGTCAACAGGGCTTAGGGTGACCAGGACGGATTAATTAGGATATCTGGCTATATTGACTGCTTCTAACATTCCACTCCCCCTAACTTGATTTCTAGGCCTCTTTTTTTTATTTTTTTCCTAGTTTATGTACCTTAATTTTTCGTTTGCCCTTTTAAGCGTGCACATACGCGTGAGTTAAAATTTATACATGCTTAAAACCGTATATATTTTTAATCAGTTATAGCTCCTTGGATGAAAGGTGACCCCCAATTTTTATTACATATTCTGAAAGCATGTGGGTTGTAGATATGATTTTATAGATCATTATGGCTGATCGGATATTGTGACGTCATCATATTGCCATCTGAATTAAAAAAACAGAATTTTTTATATATGGTAAATATTATGAATGATAATAAGTTACCCACCAACAGGCGTTTGTCAATGAGAGTTGATACATATATCTCATGAGTGAACATTTCGTGACATTACCATGCGCACGTGCCTCATGGCGTGTGCATACGCATAAGTAAATCTTTCAAAATGCTTCAAATTCTTTAAAAAAAATGAATTAGCTTTAGTATACTTTGAGCCATTTTCAGCATTTTAAAATTGTTCAGTCTGCACCGCGCACACTTCCTCGAGGGTCAAAGTGTGACGGATCACCTAACTCGTCCTCAGTGACGAGTTCAAACCTAGTTTTTATTGGGCCTTTTAATCCAATAAATGAATTTGATATGAATCAAGTTTAATACTTTTCTCATCCACTTGGTATGGGCATGTCAACAACCTGTGCCCACTCTGCCTCGCCACTTGCATTTCATGATAAATATATATTTTTATTTAAAAACATATCACTTTCAGGTTGTACTGAATATACGAACTAGATTATGTTTAGATCATGTCTGTCTGTGTAGGTTATTGTTTGTCATTAGTGCGTGCTAATAGTTATTGATTGATATTGTTATAAGAGCTAAGTATTTGTTTAATTTCTTAACAATTTTGCTGGCAAGCCCTTTTGTTGCCTATATTTGTAAAATGTGTTAACATATGCAAATTGATTGTTCATTCATCAAACCATAATTATAATGACCATGACTTGCAAAAAATGTTCTCTGGCAATAATATACTTATTAAAATTTAGAAAATACAACTTACATAATCAGTGAATGTTTATTTGATTTTACATTTTTCCTAGTTGCTCTTTTTCTGATTTCATATACAGTAGTTACCCAGCTAACAATATTACGTTATAAGAATGTTATAACGTTTGGTGATAAAAACATTATTTTGTAGAACCATATGTACGTACTTATGTCTTAATTTTACAATGCCACAACATTTGAAAGTTCTTACAACGTTGTGTGAACGTTGTGTTCTGACATACCTAAGCACAAGAACGTTTTGTGTTTGCTGGGTAATTAGTAACTTAGTTATTTTCTCTATTGGTTAATCATATTTTCCAAGTTACCGTACTATTAAAACTGTAGATTTGTGTTTGCGAATAACCAACTATACGTATTATTGAATTCTTTAATGTGTTGTTCAAATTTTTTTAAATCTCACAACAACTGAACCATTCCGTCTGGAAGATTCAGGGAAAAAAAATATTGATTTCTCCATAAGGATCAAATACAATTTTCAAGGCATCGCACTGATCAAAACAAATAAGTTTTAGCAGAATTATCGATGGTTTTTATTTTTGGAAAATTAATGGAATACCAGCTGCCAAAGGGTATTGCAAAAAAGAAAAAGGAGGGAAAAAAAAGACATTAATTGTAATATTATTTAAATGTTGATTGATTATGGAAAAATTTTTCTTGTTCTTTTTCAAATAAAAGCCTTTATAACTTACATAATACAAATTAACAATTTTAATTATGATAGTTCTTTGGGTATAAGACCATCTTGGGTGTTAAAGCCCACACCCTACTTTATGCCCAATTTTTAGCATACCAGCCTTTCCTTGTGCTAAAGCCCAGTGTAGGTTTGAATGAGTAGCATAGCTGACTTTTACATAATAGCTATCGGTTGATTTCAGGTGGTACTGGGGAGGGACAACTTGATTTCATGCTACATATCAGACATCCATTTGTACTGTAGAGTCATTAACGAAGAAAGTAGGGGTGGTGCCAGGATTTTCCCAAGGGTTGGTCTGATGTTCCCGACAAAATAAAGTGGGCGTAGTTGGGTGTCGCTCAAAATCTCTTAGAAGTGTTTCATTGGGCAAAGCCCCCGAAAAATGTGGAAATTAGCAGTTATTTTCAAGGGGTTATTTAGTCGATTTCAAATCTATATGTAGAAAATACATACCGTTTTACATTTTCGCCCCAACGAATCATGGTTTTTCTCCCCAGTTCCTGACAACAAAGATAGCACTGCCCTCGCTCAGGCTCAACTATAATAGTTCTCCAAAGAATGCAAATTTCCTGTTACTTTTCAAATTCTCTATCGTTCTCTATATATAGAAAATTAAGTGAATGATTATCTATTATGAATTATGAGGAAATATGTTTTTGAACGGCAGATGGCAGCTTAATATTCATCCGCGTTACCGGATGTCAAAAATTTCATCTGCTATTAAAATGAACTCTTTTCATATACCTCCATGGTTTGATAGTCGTTGCTTGCCAGCCGTCTTCAGCTGAACTAAAACTGGACTTGATTTAGTTGTAGTTAGAACTTAGACTATGTTGTTTATGAGTACAAATTTAAGTTTATGTTGCAACTAGGACTAAATGAAGTTCTAGTTCGTAGTTCAACTAAAGTTCGTTTTAATAATACGGTACGGAACTACAGTACGGTATTTATGTTTTTCAAACTTGTTTAGCTTGACATGACAGAATATCTTTTAACTTACCTTGCATCACAATTCTAGTTTTGAGTCCCATAATTTATGCTTGGTTTCAGGTGATGTACAGTAATCTGTGTTATTGGCTTATTTTAAAATGTACTTTTGTATTTGTTTTTTCTTAGGGATATATTGGAGTATTTTGAAAACAGTTACAGCCTCAATGAAAGCATATTCACATCCCTCAAAGGTAAGAAATGGCTTCAGTATGTATTTTTCATCAGAACTATGGCCAGGGCCCCCATCGGGAAAAGCTTGCCTCCCCCTCCCCGGCCCCCACTACTGTCAAAGAGGAAAACTCAATTCGTAGAAGGGAGATAAAAATTTTAATTATATATATTTTTACATATTAGTAGACTCTGAAATCAATAAAATATGCCTTTCAAACCCCTAAATTGTCATAGTTTTGCCCCTGGACAACATTTGAGATACAGTACTGTATATTGAGCAACTTCCAACTGCGCTCAACTGTGCTCTCTTCTGGGACTTACCAGAAAACACAGAATGCTCTTATAACGTTCGTTACAAAATAACGTTGTGAAAGTACTTGGTTCTCAAAACAACGTTTTTAACACCAAACTGTAACATTATTATAATTCTATAACATAATATTGTTAGCTGTGTTTGGCAACTCCCCCGTCCTGGATCCACTGCTAATTTCATTTTTGTAAACATCTCAATGTTTTTGTACTCTGGTATTCTTAAGGTAGAATAAATTATTCTTGTTGAAACATCTGCAGAAATTTTAAACCTTATTTAAATATATTTACATTTGGTAGTAAGAATCACATATCATTTTCATTTTTCTGATCATAAATGTTGGGTATTTTTTTTTCCTACAGAGGAACGTGTGTTAAATGTATGTCCTGATAGACTCCGTCTCCCCCTTGTTTTTTACTTGGCACACACCGCAACAGTTTACGTGAACAAACTGATGCTGGCTGGTCTCATCAAGGTAAGCTACTAAAAGTGGCAGCATTTTGGTTGTGGCTTGGACTCCTAACTTTAAGCTCGTGGGTTTGAAACTCTCGTATTGTTCAAGTTTTTTGTTTCTTTGGCAAGGGACTTTATCTGCGTTTGTCTCTCTCCTACCCAGGAGTATAAATGGGAACCTGGTTGTGGCATTTGTACTATTTTCGTGCGCTGGTACAAGTGCATGGTAAATTACTCAGGGAGCACAAAAGGTTTACACTTTGTGTGGGTTAGCTGTTGTATGTTATCCAGTGACCTTGGGTATTAACTCCCAGTTCCTCTGATCATTGATTTTAGCATTATATAAATCTTCGTCATTAATTTATTTCCCCATGATATATACATTTTTGATATGTTATGCAACTGATTTTTGTAAGACACATGACAACATATTCAAATTGGTTTTTTTTTCAAAGCCTGGCTACAAGATTAATATGTAAATTTTCACCATATCAATATTCGTTTCTGAGAATAACTTGATAAGAAATTTTTTTTCTTGGATTCAGTATTAATTATCTATAGTAGTATTAATCTGCAATATTTGTTGATTAAGGTTTGGAATACTGTATTAAATAATGTAAATTTTTTGGTTTCAATTCAGTGTTTCAATTTCAGTTATTTTCAATCACATATGACAATCACCTAACAAGACTGAAATGCTTAAGGATGTACACTATTTTAAAATGTATTAAAAAAAAGTACAAATACTTTCATATAAATTAATGTCTGAATAATAACATTGAAAATGCAGGGGCCCCAATTCTAGCGCAAGTCGCAGAAGTCTCCTGGATATCTAGACATACTCCCAAATTGTCTATCCGGTGTACTGCCGAATCACCACCACTGGAAATAAGTCTTTTTCAGACTTTTGTGGGTTGTCCTTGGTGTCATCAATCAATCCATCCATCCATAAAATTTTATTGCATTTAATTTAATTTTTTTTTTAAATTATGATTTCCAATTACATTTGTTCACAAGTTCTAAGCACAGACAGACTCTAGTAACTTGCTCAGTGAAAATATATAACTTTTTAACCTATTAACCTTCAACCTATTAACCTTCAACCTATTAACCTTTATCCATGGAGACTTATTAGGGAGCTTTTGATTTGTGCGATGACGCGATGCTAGAATGGAATAACTCATGCGTGACCCTCCTACCTGGCGTCCTACGTTCTCTGCATACGTAGATTTGGCCAAGTTGCGTTCCAGAATCTACTCGACAAGGTGACATTAACGTTCTCGCATGCGCAGATGACTTTTAGTGACGTCATTACGTTCAACGTCCTATCGTCGTCGTGCAATTATCAAAGGCTCCCTATTGACTCTCAGAGGCATAGTAATCACATGTTTACATAAATTGTAAGCCTATACTTTATATATAGGCTTTTGTTTTCGTATATATGAATCCCAACTCTTATAATTGCAGGAGAGAGTGGACATGGAATTTGAGACTTTATTTGAAACTGGAGTAGATGAGATGTCTTGGGATGACACGGTAAGTTTGTAATAATGTATAAATTGAAACACGATTATTTGTTTGTTAATATTCAAACTTCAGTACTTCACAAAATTAAGTGCTTCCAAGGAATGTTTATTTAATGGCAGTCAGTCTGTTGTCCTCGGCAACCATGGTGATTGATACCAGCCTCTACACATCTTTCAACCTGAATACTTTGTCGTTCATTTGCTGTGATACAACAAAGTACAATGCTTCTAAAATCCTCATTGTATATTATGATTTTGTTGTAATTATTTATTTTTCATTGTGTACTTATTTTAATCTATTTAAACCCCAGTCCCAAAATGCTGCACTTGGGCTAGCTCTCTGAAATTGGCATGTTTGGACAAGGGGTCAGTGGGTTGCGATTCATGTCTGAATTAGCAAATGAGTCCAACAGTTTGTGCAACACTAGTCTAAATTATATTGCTCATTCAGAATGCTAGCATAGAAAGGTAGATATTATGAAATGCTTTCTGAACAACGCATCTGCAACAGTTTTTTTTTTTTAATAAGATGAAATCAATTTATGAAGCTGTCACTTTACACCGAAATTCAACGAACAAGTTGACATGCACTTAATTATTGATATAAATACTAATATCTGAAGTCAACATTCAAATGTATCGTCAACAGCTAAAAGCAATTGGAACGGATACTTAGGTTACGGTAGATAACCATCTGTGCTATAAGATGTGTAAGATGTAAGATTATAATTAAAGTCTTGGATGCGCTGCAATTTCCGTTGTGAACCTACTCCAAATGAATTAACTTGCAGCTACCTTGCTTAAAATGAGAATCAATTTTTTTTTATTACGTGCAGGCATTACCTAGCAACCTTTATTATTTTAATATTACTTCATAAATATTATTGACAAAATCATGAATAGCATATCAAAGGTTTTCTCCTTTCGGTGTTCAACAAAAAAAAAATTGTTTGTGGTAGCCTTCCAAGGTGGTGATGTCATACAGTAATTTATTTCTGTTTTGCATTCAACATTTCCAATAACAATGTAAACTTTTAACAGAAATTAATAAACTGGAACTTAGTGTAGAAGCGTGTAGCACAGCGTACAGTATAAGGTGTTGGGCTGTCATATCGGAAGGTTGGGGTTCAAGACCGATGCTTGTCACAGTGTGTCCGCACTTTATCTACATTTGCCTCCCTTCTTCAAGGAGTACAAGTGGGTGCCTGGTGGGAGGTCAATGATTCTGATTGAAATTAATAGTACTAATTATATGCGTAGCGGAGAAGGTTGCACGTTATGCGTGATTGATTCTGTATCCAATGGCCAGGGAAAAAAAGCACCTTATGTAGTTTTCTGGATATGTGCTCTATATAAATCCCAGTATTAAATAAATAAAAAAATGGTCTGCAGCATTTAGGACCTAATTGATTCAAAGCAGATGTTAGTTTACAAGCTACAGTATATATAACATTGTAAGTTGTTAATATTATTGATTTTTTAAAATTTGATTTAATTTATTATGTTTAATTATCTATTTTTCTATTTATCTTAAATTTTTTATTGCTGTGTTATGGAGTGAGTTTCTAATATATGTAATTTTAAAAAATAAATGTTAAATTAACTGGTTCATACCTGTCTTGCATATAATTGCTGTATTATTAACAGGAAAGTAAGAACTAAATGGATCTAATTTTCTACTACAGTACTTACATTTTTATATAATTATTTTTTTATATAGGAGAACTACAGGATGGGTGGAAGTTTTAAGTGGCCATCGTTAAAGGCTGTTGCGTCTTACAGGTTAAAAGTTCGCAATCTTATCCGCAAAGTCATCGAGGAAACTCCATTAGAGCTTCCTATCACTATGGATAGTCCATGGGTAAGGAAATAACCAGACTATTGTAATAAAAGTTTTTGGAGGTCTCCCTCCAAATAAGGACCACTTTGGGACCAGAGTCTCTATTGTCTTTACTTTAAAGATAAAACATTTGTTAATTAGGGACCAAAGAAAAGTGGTCATTAACTGGAGGTGGTCTTTAATTAGAAGGGAGAATGCTGTATTTATTTCTGAAGATAATGACTTTTTAGTGGACGATTTTCGAGCCCAGTGGCCGAGCGGTTAAGGCAGGGGCGCCGCTAGCTACAGCAAACATCAGCACTGGTTCCAGCAGCTCCTCGCCTATGGTTCAGTTGGTAGAACCAAGTCTTTTCAGTTGGTTAAAATGGAGGTCCAGTGTATACTTCTGGCTCCTGTGCACTTTAAGGAACCCATTGCATCTTTCGGAAGAGTAGGGGGTTACCCAGATGTTATGGTTCATTTCAGCTGCCTGTCGTTGTGGAATGATGTGAATATGTAGCTATGAAGCGCCTCTTTACGGCTGCTAGGTAGTCACGGACCACACCCATACGCAATTCAGCACAATGACGCTGCAAGTTATAGGTTTCTCCTACCTTTATCTTTACAATTTCATGCCCTTATAACAGCCAAGTTTAAAATATTAGTGTAAACTTTCAACTGTGGAATAAGTCTCGTGGGCCGCCCTGGACTAGACTAGGGGAGACGAGTTTTGGAGGAGTACAGGCATGGACAAGCTGCGTCTTGTGGCCACGTAGAGCAGGAATAAATCCTTTTACATTCAGCTTTACATGGTGTCTGGATTCTCATTGTATCTCTCGAGCATTGTAGAGTGTTACATTAGTTTCCAGTTTTTTTTCTGTTGTGGATTGCTAAAACAGGCTCAAAAAAGAAAATGTTTCGTTCTTCAGAGACAGCAGAGATATTAATGCATGTACTGTACTTTTGCTAATCTTAAAAATTTTTTTTTTCCCTATTTTTCATAGTGGGCAGTGTTGATGGGCATTGATCATGAGAGAATTCACATAGAGACATCGTCTGTCCTTATACGTCAGCTACCGATAGAAATGATTTGTGTCCCACAAGATTGGAAAAACGCTCCAAGAAAACATAGTAAATTTACATGATTGTTTGGATTAGTAGGAGTAGTTTGGCGGTGTCATGAATTCCTAATTGACGTATTTCCGTATTACTAGGAATCCCTCTTTGACATATAAAATACAAACACAGCTTTCAAATAAACCTTCATTCTGTATAAACTCCAACAAGAATCCGGTTTCAAATTAACACAACAACATTCACGTAAACATGTGTGCCTCTCGAAAGATAAAAATGTCAGCTTATATAACGCTAGCTGTACAACTCCAGAGCATTCTATATTTCCTAATTTCCTCATTGGTCACATTACATCATAATTAACCAATAGGCAATTGCTTTTAGTACTTCAACATCTAGAACCGTCCACATGGTCTTTTATGTTCCTATAATTACCAATGTTGAATTACACTGTTTGTTTGGCAAACAAATACATTTCTAGAATGTTCTATGCAATAAATATGTTACAGTAAGGAGAGGACTGGTAATTTATTACAGGCGGTTAAGATGCTTCCATTGCCTCAATTCCTGTCATGGATTTTTTATCATGACCAAGCACTCCTTAAGCATAATAATATAGAAAATATATGTGTTTATCTTATCTTATGATGGGATTGCCCCTTTGAAAAGTGAATAATTTCACTGTTTGGTATATCCTAATTAGGCCTAATGCCCAAAGCTGAATAATTATAAATGATTACTTGATTTAAATTTTTGGATCGTCAAAACACACAAACTTCAGCAGTGGTTATACAATGCATTATGAGTGTGTTTTAATAAATTAAAGAAAAAATATATTAATCAGAAAACATAAAATTGAGTGGTACAAATAATTTAAATATTAGATTTATTTATTGGTATCTAGAGGGATATATATAGGCAGTTTGGCACAGCGGTTGAGGTTTGGGCTTTCAATCGTAAAGTCGGGGTTTCAAGTGTCCGCTGTGCAGATTCACTTGTGTCCTTGGGCAAGGCACTTTAGCTACATTGCTTCAGTCCACCCAGCTGTATCAATGGGTACCAGCATACTGCTGGGGATGGACTAACCTGCGACAGACTAGTGTCCCGTCCGGGGTGGGTGGGGGAGTACAACTCTCATCCGCTTCACACTACAGAAACTGGGGATAAGCTCCAGCCCATATGAGCCCCAGTGGCTCAGAAAGGATTTAGTTAGTAGTTAGTAGTTAGAGGGATATCCCAATGATACTTTTAATTATCTGAACCATATATTTTCTTTATTTTTCAGAAAATGGAGCTGGAAAAAATGCCTTTATTTGCACCAAAGCAACTGATGTTACATATGGTAAGCCTGTGGATTTCCCTTCTTACGGCTGGTATAACGAGTACCCTCAAACAACTGCTAAGTAAGTATGCTCATTATATATTTCATTATCCTTATCTAAACAAATTTATAAGAGCAGCCAGTATAAAGTTCAACATCAGTGTAACTAAACCCATCAGAATGGCGACACTAGGTTAAAACTCGGAAAGCAAAGGGCAAACGAATCTTAAGCAGATAGTGTCATATATTAGTTTAACAATAAATAAGCAGATATTGTCATATATTAGTTTAACAATAAATATGCAGATAGTCAGATATTGTCATATATTAGTTTAACAATAAATATGCAGATAGTGTCATATATTAGTTTAACAATAAATAAGCAGATATTGTCATATATTAGTTTAACAACAAATCAGCAGATAGTGTCATGTAATAGTTCAACAATAAATAATGAAGTAGATAATTTCTGTGTCATAATTTAATATTGCTAAAATCAAGATGACAACTCTTCAAATAAGATATTGAATTGATAAATAAAAAAAATAACATCAAGTATTAAACTGATATCAATGTTATAGCACACATACTTTTAATATTTTCCACCTGCTGAGAGAGCAAAGGGCAAATGATGCCTAAACAGATAATGTAATGTATTAATTTAACAATAAATAATGAATTAGATCATTTTTTTTCATAATTTATAAGATGTAAAACCTGAAAACCCTTAAAAAAAAAAAGAAAACAAAAAAAAGAACTGTCAAAATAAAAAAAAATCATAAGTTACAGTACACATTAAATTCAACATGGTAAACATTAATATTAATATATATATATATATTTTTAGCAAATTCTAAACGTTCATATTTTCTCATTTTTATGTTCCCTACTTTTCAATTTTTCTTTCAAGTACTTGTTACCTCTTCATCCATTGGTTTGTAAATAAAAATGTATGTTTGTTTTTTTTAAATTTTAATTATTTTCCACACATAAAATTTTAAAATATCATAGGGTTACAGATGAAATTAAAATAATTACTTCTGATACTTATAATAATATTTAATAATAAATTCAAATACTATAATAAGTAAATTTATGAAATAAAATGGTGATACGTAAGAATAAAACTATACTATTAATATAAAATATAAACTGTAAATAATGATAATATGCAATACCAAATGGATAAATAATAGGTATCAATACTAAAATATTGTTTTAACTGGTAAGTATAACAGATAGTTAATGTTGAATATGATATTGCATTGAATTACATATTTTGGTTAATTTTCCCATTATATACTTCATTATATTTACCTTTTGATTATATTTTAATGTTTTAATCATCTTTTGATTCCATTCCTGCTTTTGCTTTTAATGTAAAGCACAAAGAGGTTTATAGCATTCTGTGCTATATAAAAATAAATTTATTAATTTTTATTATTGTTATTATTATTATTATTATTATTTTATAGGGTACCGGCATTCAAAGCCACCAAGTATCTTATTACCAATCAAGAGTTTTTGGAGTTTGTTGAAGACGGTGGCTACGAAAAGAAGGAATTGTGGTCCAATGAAGGTTGGACATGGAGGTGTTTTCGAGATGCTAAACATCCAACGTTTTGGGTGTGCTCATGTGGTAGGATTTTTTTTTAAACTTTTAGAATATGGTTTTGATATGATACGATATATATACTCTTCATCATAAAAATATGCTTTCATTTGAGATATGTTTTTGCATTCTAACCTCTAACCCGGGTAATTATGGTAATTAGGGCTTGGGGTGCATTCTCCCCCCTCCCATCTCCAACCCCAATCCCGATGGAAAATGTTTCAAGCAAAAAAAATAAATCCTGCTTAAGTACATACAAATCAACTCATATACCTAATTTTGTGATCTACCACCTCTTTACTTAATCGTCGAAACCCCTAGTTCATCTTTTAATTTATATTTTGCTCAATTCCGAATTTTTATTTCTAACATAAAGCACATTTAGGATTTTAGCAAAATGCGCTCAATCACAATCAAACTACTATTAAATAACACAAATCAGTACAATTACAATTTTTTAATGGTCACCTTAACAAACTTTACTGTTTATTTTAAATTTGTAGATTTGTTTGTTCAAGCTGTTATATTTAACATAAATTGTTTAATCAGAACAATTAGGATTTTTTAATGGTCACCTGTATCTTTAACAAACTTTACTGTTTATTTTAAATTTGCAAATTTGTTTGTTCGAAGCTGTTATATTTAACATGTTCAGGCCCGTAGCCAGGTTCTTCCAAGGGTGGGGGGGTTTCTGGTCATGAGGTCCACAGTCAATGCTGCGGTGAGATCGGCGAAACCCCCAAAGCAAGAGCATATTTGTGCTTTATGGGTCTAAGTAATGCTATAAAAGCAGATATGTTTTCAAATGTCTGTGTCTGGGTGGGTCTGCAGTGCATTAGTTGGGTTGGAGGACTTATTTGGGAAATTTAAAGAATGGGTTTCACCAGAAAAGAGGGGGGTTTGCTAGAAAATGGGGATTCTCCCGAACCATAAACCCCCCTCCCCTGGATACTGGCCTGATATTTGTTCTTGTTTTGATTCCATATATTTTTATGTCATTAAATCTTTACATTTTATATTCTAAGGTTGCAAGTCTGGCTGTGGCAGCATCCTTTCTGGATACTCCCACTGCAAGCCTGCAGACATTTCAAATGGTCAAGAAAATGGAAATATGAATGGTCAAGTAAATGGACACACAAATGGAGTGAATGTTAATGGAAATGGCCACATCCTAAACAACAATGGATATGGGTAATTTATTACTTATTTATTTTATTTGTAACTTGAATGGCTACAAGATATTTCAGTTTGGACGGGGAGAAGTCTGAAGAGTTGTGGTGGAGGATTGGGTGGAGGGGTGTTAATATCAAAGTGCCCTAATGATTTTGCAGACTGTGGGAGTGGCCTGAACTAAATCTGAATAAGAATATTTCATTCTAATATCCATGATCAATAAAGGTCCCTCCAAAAATGAACAAGGCCATTTTATTCAACGTTTCGCTTTATATTATATGTGTTTACATCAGGAATAATATACAGTCTCTGTATTGTATTTTATTCCTGATGATGCTATAATAAAAGCGAAACGTTGAATAAATAGGGCTTGTAAATTTTTTGAGTGACCATTATTCTATTTGTTCTTAGTGCACATCTTAATAATGGTATAATCTTGTGCATTCTAAATATTTGAAGAATTGGGTCAATGCAATGATAGATTAAACAGACGGAGATATTTCTCTCATTATATCCTTTATTCATCTTTAAAATATAAAATGATACAAGGATAAAATATAAAAACAATATACAATTCCAAAAATAAATAAATAAGGCTCTAGGTTACAGTTTAAAAGACATTAAACTATACAAGAGAGAAAAGCAAAAATTAAAATAAAAAAAACCAAAAAAAAACCAAAAAAACAACAAGCTGTCAACAACTAGACCCAGGCCCAGAGTTAAAAATTCAGTAAAAGGGATCGACAGGTGTCAGTCACCTTATCTCCCAGGCAGGGCTGTATTTGGAATTCCAGATAATATAACTGGATATAAGGGCCGATTCACTAGCTAGGTTCACATTCAGAATTTAACGTGATCTAGTGGATCATGATCAAGCCAGTCATTTTATGTGAACCAACCAGAATCAAATAACGTGCTCAGCTTAATCACCTTATTGTGATCTAGTGGAGCATGAATGCTACATACCCTGTCTCTTATACACATCTAGATGTGTATAAGAGACATGCATTAGCATAAATAGATCATGATGATGGTTTCTATATGAACGGTTTTCTCTAACATGCTAAAGTTATCATGATGAATAGATCATGATAAGTTTATCACGATAGCTTATGTGAACGTACCTATTGAGCTTTCTGAGTACATCCTGTTTTGGGTTTTGCTGATAGGAATGCAAATAATGATAAAAACCGGGTCACCAAACTTTGCCTTGGATTCAACCAATTCCTATATACCTGATATAATTCTATCCTGATAAAGCATTCTATTTATAGCTGATACTCCAGAAGTATTATTGATTGTGACAATAAAGTGTCTTATCTTGCTTTGTTCGAGTGTCTATATAGAAGGATTCTTATATGTATTGCTTTATTGATTAATATGGTAGATATCGGACGATGACCGAGGTGATTGACTTGCCTGGCGATTGGCCGGTAGATGTTAATTACCATGAGGCTAAAGCCTATTGTGCTTGGAAAGGGCCTGAATACCGCCTACCCAGTGAAGCGGAACACAAAGTGATGCAAGGAAACCAGGTTGGTGTGTTTTTGTGAACTCTTCCAGGGCTTTTGTAAGCTGGTTTTGGCTGGGGGAGGGAGAGGGGGAGAGGGGAAAGGGTGGTATGAAAAATGAGAATGCGGAATTAATCTCCATTCCAATGACAACTTTAATGGTCATTTTAATATTTTAACATATTTAGTGGAACTAATTTTTTTGGGAGGGGGGGGGCATGAAGTTCTCCCCCTCCCCCACTCAGCCTAATCCTGTGCCTTCAACATTTTGTAAATATGGTCAGTTCTTCTAAAGAATTAAAATATAGCACAACCCCTCCTTTGGGACACACCTATTTAAAGAGTGGACACCTTTCAGCAACAAAACAAGGAAAAGTATATTTTTTAACACTACGGCCAACCCCTATTCAATAGACACCTCCTGTTAAGTAGACACCTTTTTGATAATTTATTTGCAAAATAAGATCTTACCCATGGCAGAAAGTGGGACAGTAAAAACTTAAGTAGATATATGCTGTGGTATAGCTAGGTGAGAATGGGCCCCAGTGCAGGGCTAATTTAATAACAGGCCCTTTTATGTGAAGCATCAACCGAGGACCGTGGCCTGAGTTATGGCTATTGGGGTGGAACAATGACTTTTAACTGTTAAGTTTTTGTTTGAATACCAAGGCATTCAGGGTTTGATTCAATGGCTTTGTAATAATGCAAAGATCACAGGGGCCATGATGAGCTATAAAATACTAGCATTATAGATTTCATAATTTCAGAAAAATTGGACTTGCTAGCAATCACTGAAACATGGTTGACATATGGCTGATTTACAGAACTCACTACCAGATTTCAACATACATCATCTCCCTCGTATAAATTCAAGAGGAGGTGGTGTTTGTATTATATTGAAGAAAGCGTTTGATGTAACAAAAGAAAAAGGTCCAGCATTCGCTTCCTTCGAACACATGGACATCCATTTCATCTTGTAGCAAATCAATCAGACTTTTCCTCATTTACAGGCCTCCACCTTCTAGGAAAGACAAACTGAAGACTAAACTTTTCTTTGACGAATTTTCTAACCTGATAGAGTTGCTTCCAACAGTCTCCACTAGTAATCTTATAACTGGTGATTTTAATTTTCACGTCGATGTGAATGATAACCGTGATGCAAGTACCTTTCGCGAGTTGCTCTCATCTGCTGATCTTATCCAAGCAGTTGATAGTCCAACACACAGGTGCGGTCACATCCTTGATCTTGTGATCACGCGCAGCAATGAAAATGTTGTCTCTGATGTGTTGGTGGACTATAGTTTACCATCTGATCACGCTGCTGTTGTTTTCAAAATTGCACTGTTGAACCTAACTCCACAAAGATTAAAGTCAACACGCGGAAGTTGCACAATAATAATGTAGCAGATTTTAAGAAAGATATACAACGTTCAGTGCTTGTTACAGAAGCCTGCACTGACCTTGATGATTATATAGAACTATATAGTGAAACTATGAGAAAATTCCTCGATAAACATGCTCCGGAAGTTTTACGGACTGTTACACTTAGACCACGCGCACTCCATGGTACTCAGATCAGCTACGAAATGCTAAAAGCGTAAAGCGTTGCAGTGAACGTAGGTGGAAAAAGTCGGTGCTTGAGGTCGATCGGCAAATTTTTCGTGATGACTGTAAAAAGTATCGTAGTTTGCTCAATAAAGCTAAAACAGACCATTATAAAGCTGAATTCCATAAATGTGACTCCAGGCCGGCAGCTCTTTCAGAAGGTTGCCACTATGTCAAATGGTTCATCACGCACTTTCAGACCATGTGGGTAAAGACAGTGACATTGCAGATAAGTTTGCCACTTTTTTCAAAGACAAAATCAATCAAATCCGTGAGTATTTGGATGAAACTATACCCCCAACTATGGCTGTTGACATTTGTGATTCTTGTGAAAGCAGTTTCTGCAATTTTCTACCACTCTCTGAAGATGAAGTGGAACAAATCATTCTTGGTATGCCAACAACATCGTGCATTCTGGATCCAATACCCACGACTCTGCTTAAAGATTGCATTGATGTCATATGACCGATTCTCACAAAAATTATCAACCGCTCCCTTCAAAGAGGTTATGTTCCCGGGGCTCTTAAATCTGCAATCATCTTACCAATCCCTAAGAAAACCAATGTTGATCCTGAGGATTTGAAAAATTATCGCCCTATCTCAAATTTACCTTTCATGGCTAAGGTGCTCGAGCATGCCTTTTCATCACAACTACTGACGTACCTTGATAACAACAATCTCCATAGCAGCCTTCAGTCGGCCTACCGACGACACCATAGCGTAGAGACGGCTCTCATTCGTTTGCAAAACAACATTCTTCTGGCGGTTGATGATAACACAAGGAGGCCATTTTGGTACTTTTGGAATTTTCGACACGGTGGACCATCATCTTTTGCTTAGACGTCTACGTGATAGATACGGATTATCCGGCAGAGTTCTTGATTTGATGTCGTCCTACTTAACAAAGCGTGAACAGTCTGTCGTCATTGGTGGGACTATGTCCCAGAAGAATACATTGACTTTTGGCTTACCTCAGGGATTCGTCATTGGACCAATTTATATTCTGGTCCCATTCAAGACATATTGAATGCGCACGGAATCAGTGGAATGATATATGCCGACGATAAGCAGGTATATATGATTTTTGATCCTACAAAACGCACCGAAGCTGTTGTGGCAGTGGAAAAGTGCGTTGCGGACATCTGATCGTGGGCTATATCAAACAAACTTAAGATAAACGATGAAAAAACTGAGGTTTTGCATGTAACATCTCGTTATAAGAGGCAGCAATGTACATCTTGTACTATTACAATTGGACTTGCCGATATAATTCCTGCACAGGGAGCCAGAAATCTTGGTGTCTTTATTGATCAGAATCTGACCATGTCCACTCATGTGAATAACGTTTGTAGGTCAACCGTTCACTTGATCAGAACTATTGGCCGTATACGTAAGTTTTTAGATAAGGATACAACAGAGCGTCTTGTCCACGCGTTCATATCATCTAAACTTGATTGCTGCAACAGACTCCTTTTCAGACTTCCTGGCACACATTTAAGTAAACTCCAACGTGTGCAGAACACTGCCGCTCGATTAATTGTTGGTGCCCGAAAGTACGCTCATATTACACCAATTCTAAATGAGCTCCATTGGCTTCCCATCAAGAAGCGGATTCTTTTCAAAATTCTTCTGATGGTGTATAAATCACTTTCCGGTACTGGCCCATCTTATATAGATGAAATGTTTAAACCGTATATACCGTCACGCACCTTAAGATTCAGCTCTAGTGGACTGCTTTAAATCCCGCAAGCCGCTCGTGCTACTAAATCTACGTATGGTGACAGAGCATTTTCCATTGCCACACCCAAGGATTGGAATGATCTTCCCAAATTTTTGAGGAAGGTGATGTCAGTTGAATGTTTTAAGTCTGGTTTAAAAACTTATCTTTTTAAATTGTAAATTCAAATATCTTGCAGATGATGATTATATTTTTGTAATAATCAATGTTAATTATCGGATTATAATGCAATTGATTGATCTTTTATTATGCTTAAATTTGAATAATTGTAATTTTTTATATTGTTAATATTAATAATTGTATTTTCTATATTGTCCTATTGCCTTCCCTTTTACTATATTTTTGTAATAATATATTTTTGTAATACTGTATTCTTATTGTAAATAGAGTAAATTAATTGAATTATTGTTGTCAATTGAAATTATTCCATTTGGCGTTTTTGGTGTTTTGAATGATAATATTGTAAATATTTTTCTTGAATTTGTATTGTACACTGTTGTGGTTTAAATTTGATGATTGTATGCGCTCTGGGGCCGGCTTGCTGGCGTAGAGCGCTTTATAAATGTCACTTATTATTATTATTATTATTATTAGCTATTATTCTGGCTTGTGTAGGACATCGAATAGAGGTTGACATTGTTACTGTCACTAAAACCCACTAATTGTTTGAATACCAGAGTTCTGAATTAATCTAATGAAAATTGGTGGCACATGAAATTAAACAATTGCTGTAGCGGATCTATCCAGGGATTCGAAATTCGAAATCGACTTAAATTTGAATATAATTTTCTTTTTACCCCTTTTTTTTAAATAATTTTTGAAAAAAATCAGAATGCTCAGGCCGTCTGGGGCTCTCCTTGAATCCGCCACTGAAATGAAATAACACAGTATCGATAATTACTCCTCTAAAATCCTAAATATATTGGGGGACCCGCTGGCTGACTTTTACTTTTTCTTAAAAAATATTATGTTGGAAATTATTTTTAATTATCATTTTTAGGCCTATTTATATGAATGGGCCCTTAATAGCCCTGGGCCCCAGTGCTTTGCACTGGCTACAGTGCGCAGGCCTACGCCACTGGATATGTGGCAGTTTTGGTACAAGCTAGGTTAAAAATTGATATTCCTATAGTTAATGGTATTGGCACAACTACAACATAATACTAAATTTTGTATGAAACAACCAAATACATATTGACAAAAGGTGACATCCCAAGGCTCAGGGGACACCCTATTATGAGGACACCCTATTAAGGGGACACCGACACCTTTTTGGTAAAGAATTTCTTAACACTAACCAACCCTATTTAGGGAACACACACACCCTTTTCTGGCCTGTAGATGTCTCCTTCAGGGTTTACTGTATAACAAGAAACTATAAAACTTGGGGATTTTTGGGGTTTTTTCAGGTTGATCCCGATGTTGGTGTCTCGTGTGATCCTTTATTTTGTGATGGATTCAAAGAGAAATTCAACTCCAATATGGTTTTCAACTCTTCCAGTGTAAGGTTTATTTTAGTATATTTATATAAGTTTAATAAACATATCTATAAAAAAAGAAACATTATTATGCTTTTAAATTGATTTTATTACAAAAACATTGCTGATACAGTAAGCTTTACATATTATGACAAATAGTTAAATTATTATTTTCAGGGTTTCTAGAATTAACGCCGCAGCGCTTATTCAAGGGCGGTGCCTTGCGAAAAAAATTAATGTTTGGTGATGCGCTTACTCGAGATTGCTGCTTTAAAAAAAATTTTTTTTTTATTGAAATCACTTGTAGGTAAGGTACTGGCTACTTAATTATTAATATATTTTTATGCCATGAAATGTTTGCTTCAGGGCTGAAACATAACCTCAGCCACAACAATGCAAGTTGGGGTGTCTAAGCATGGCCGGCCGAGTTTGGTCAGCGTGTGGTTTGAACTCCTGACCACAAGTTCAATATTCCAGAATTGAAACCACTGTGGCAAACCGCTTTCACCTTATTTGAGCATTTAGGCTACAGTCTAGATTCATAAATTTATTTTAATAATGAAATGACAGGAAAAGAGCTGGCACCAGAGGGGGCTGTTCACACAATGCCAATCAAAAAGTTCTTAAAAATGTTTAAAGAAAATATTAATAAAAATACTGAATTACTTTACGAAAGATTTGATATTAATTTTATTTGGTTTTGCTTCGCAGCCTGTGAATATGTTCCCAGCAAATGAGGCTGGTTTTCATGATATGTATGGCAATGTGTGGGAGTGGTCGGAAGATCATTTTAACGGATTTCCCAACAGTGATACGCATCCATTATATGATGACTTCGCCACACCAACCTATGATGGATTTCATAATGTCATAATGGTAATACCATTTTCATTATTGGTTAGGCGAGACTTCCTTTATACCTTGTTTCTCAAAGTTGTTCTTTTAAAGATCGTCAGAGGAGGGCGGAAAAAAATGAAAAATAAAATGTTGTTTTCTTATTTAGCAAATAGTTTTGCAAAAAAAACAAACATCCAGACGGAGGAGCAAATAAAAATAACATTTTAATGGTGAATGTAAACAGTGTATGAGATGTTTAAGTGCTATAATTTCAATAATCAGGAAGAAATGTGCTATCTTATTTTTGGAGATTTCAAGGCAGAGGTTGAAATTTCAATTTTTTTGTAGCAGTTGGGTGCACTAATTGGCCAAAAATACAATTTTATTTTTATTCATCATTATGGATGGGTGGTGGGTTTGCCTATAACAAGGTATAAAAAAAGTCTTACCTTATACACGATATAAAATAGTTATAAGAATTATTAAGGTTAATTTTTATTAAATTGTTTTGACAATTTGAAATGTAACAACACCCTGTGTGGCCGTTCCCTGGCAAAACAACTTAACTTGAAATTTTCACTTTTAATTTAGAAAAAAATAGAGTTAAAGTTTGTATGTTTGTAATTTCGCAATAAACTGTCGTAGCCTTTTGAAATTTTGCAGGATTGTATATCTATAGACATTGTGATTATATTTAAAATTTTAGTTACAACCATTTGTCTATTGCAAAGTTATTAGCGATAATTACAGATATGTTGTTTTTAAGTGCAACAAATTTTTTTTTATTTATCACGTTTGGGTAATCATATGCATTACTTGGCCCGTTCATACATCGCTGTTTAAGATTATGGATATAAAAACACCAATAACCATTTCATTTTACCTTACCAAACTCCATAGGCTCAAGACCATTTTTTGAATACCATTTCGTGGCAAAACAACGTATCTTCATCTCAGATACGTTGTTTTGCCCCGTAATCTTGTAGTTACTGTATGTTGTTTTTCCACGGAAAATCACTAGATTTTAAGTTTGGTGCTCAAAGATAGGTGGTATCTTCAAAATGACTCATTATTGAGACCTAAAGTTTCACAGGTAATTCAGACGTGTTCAATACACTCCCAAATGATATTATCTCAAATCAACAAAAATGTCAGTTACTTTGTTTTGCCTTGGGACAGCCATGTAATCATTTGCCTGTGGATCTTGGTTATAAATTATTAGTTTTAAAATTAAAATCTTAAAAAAATATGTTACTTATTTTTAAATTAAATATACTATTTATGGATTTTTTTTTTCTTCCAAGTATGTTTAAGATATGTTTTTTATAGTTGTCATTAAGCTAATAAATTTAAGCTAAAGAGTGAAAAGTAACCTTCCATACCACTCACAAGTATTAGTTTCATTAGGGTAGTGTTTCGTTTTTTAAGCCAACCATATATTTTGTGTGTTTGTGGTTTGTTGGGTTTGGCAATACTACCTTTTTATTTTATTGGCATTATCATGTAATAGGATTGTATACATTTGACCTTAATATACAAACCGTAGTTTGTTAGTACTTATTTTTATTTTTTTTTTATTTATTAAGGTATAGCAAAATATTACAAAAGGCAGAACAGGTCTGAAATTATTGCATTACAAAAAACAGATAACCAAATAGAAACTTACACTAAGCTGAAAACACACCAAAATCACACACAATATCAAAAATATACAACTAGATAAAAAATAGACTAAATAAAAGATTAACTAAATACGAAAAGTAAAATTGACATTAAAAATATAAAAACAATAAAACATTAGAATAACATAAAAAAATACATTAAAAAACAAAAATAGCCTATATTGTATATACAAATTTACTAAGAATGAATTACTGCACTTTAAGAAGATATTTAAGAAATTAGCTAAATATAAATTGTAAAATTTACAAAAAATATAAAAACAATAACTCATTAAAATAACATCAAAAAATATAAAAATAGTCAATACGTTGTGCATCTTATTGCGAATTAATTAGTTGAACAATGAAAGGAATAGCTGAGCGTTTATATCTATCAGTATTGCACTTTGGCACTTCAAGGGTCCTGGCATTAGATCTAAGGCTGTCTCTTATACACATCTAGATGTGTATAAGAGACAGCCAGTGGCGTATCTAGAAGTCTTGAAATGGGGGGGGGGGGGGGGGCGCGAGGGGGAGGGGGGGGGGGGGGGGGGGGGGGACTCGAGAATCAGTTGAGGGGT